TTATTCCGTCGGGGAGGGGGTTGTACCCCCCTGCCAAATGACAAAAATACTTGCCACCCTTATGGCACTGTCGTAGCCAACTAGTTAGTAAAATTTAATCGATCTACTTTTACGTTCCAACTATCGAAGCAATGTGGAATATAAGCAGATATATTGTATCGACTTCCAACATTTTGGTTATAAGTTAACGCGCGGGCGCAAAGACCGCAATTTATTAATCGAATCCACAAGACGCCACACTCCAAATATATACTGTACCAATATTGACTTTCGTAGGTAAAAGTAGTTAGCGGTGTCAATGAAACAGACGCGGAAAATGCTCAAATGTGACGCCGATATTAAGACCTTCAATGACATAACATATTCATTCATCTGTTTTAAAAGGAGCAACATGTGCTCGTATTGTAAAGCCCGTACGAATACTAAGGGCTACAGTTCACACAAATGGAAAGACACAATGGGAACCTTCTCTGATACATAACGATTCTATTATAACATCTATTATTACAACTGTTGCTGTCACAGACCGATCAAAGATTGAAAGACTGATAGTTAGGTATGTTCACGTCCGAAATTAAGGTGAAATATGACGTATGATAAATCAAGTATATAGGAAAGCTAAAGAGAAAAACCAGCCTGTAAATTCGCTCACAGCATCTATAGTAATGTGTGACGTTACAGTTTAATAAGTGAGAACAATGAAACGATGATCGATACGCAAGTACAGTTGGCAGCAAAGGTGCTTTGGCGAAAGTTTGACATTTAGAGGCGGTAATGCGCGCGGGGGGGGGGATTGAGGGAATAAAGTAGATAGAGTTTATGAAGGTAAGGAAAGGATAGTATTTAATAGGTAACAAAATGCTGGAGACAAATAGGAAACTGGCGCCTAGATCTAGAGTAGGGGAAGAGCAAACCATAAAAGGAAACTGGAGGAGAGACGGTTAAGCTTGGGGAGAGAAATCGACGGAGAAAAATGGGTGAAGGTTGGAGACGCTAAATTGGCAACTTAAAGAAGGAATATGAGCATTGAGCTTAGACGAGTGAAATTGTGTTTAAAGCGTGTGAGTGGTGCTCAATGTACACGTAGAACGGGGCAGAGGCAAAGATCACGAATTCAATTTATGATAACGAAGAAAAATAAGTATCTTCACCTCCGTAACATGTACAACGATGTCACATATAAATATCAGTTCCATATCACTGCAACACACATCTTAGACCATTTTGTTTAGATTACGAACACTAGCTTCGTAACAACATAAGAAATGTTCACTACAATTACTGATATAAGCTACAACAAAACAAACATATTTTCAGTAAAACAGCAGCACATTGAATTTGTTGTGCCCATACACCTACACAAGATTTCATTAAGATGTGATCGGATGTTAACAAGATATACTTTCTTACAACTCGCTTGACGATCACAGAGACTTGTTTGTATAACAGTAACTGTCTAGACCTCGCTTCACTACTTTCAAAAAGTTACTACCCCATGAAAACAGTACGCAGAAACAAGTACCTAAATAGTATACATACATGTAGTATAGCCCTGCGTTAAAAAAGAAACTGATTATATATCATGTTGGCATTATGCAATACATACCATCTCAAATTTACCAATCTCACAAGATCTCGGCACCTCTTAAAATTCACATTACTACACTCTATAGAGGTCTCACCTACGACCGATGCGTGAATCAGTCGCACACGAGACATTTTCAAACATGACGTAATAAACAGCTGGGAACAATATATACAGACGACATGCCACCCGCAAGGGCCCCTTTGATCTTAGCACACAAGTGCTTACTATGATCGGCCGTGGGGTGATTGATGAACTGTCACGTAACAGATACTTTACGTATGCAATCAAAATCTAATAATACAGTGTTAGGCATTATTAGCTCTTGATACAATTAATAGTTACTCACGGACGGTCGGCAACTTTGTTCTCGCACTATTTCAAGTACAGAGTATCACAAAATAATGTCCGCGTCAGTTTTACATTGCGCTGTATAAAATGCCATGGTAACACGTAAAAACTGAAAAGGGCTACATATTCTGATTACCCTGCACGGTATTGTCGCCCAGCAAACCAGTAAAGATAAGTTATTACGGGGCTTCTCGTTGATAACTGTCGTTACCTTGTCAATGTGTCGTCCTAGTTTCGTCGTCAGTCTTTATTGAACTTTGTAACAGGCTACATTCGATCGCGTTAACGTCAAACGACAAAGCGGTGACGGGGTCGCTCTTACAAATAGATTACGTCAGTGCGAATACAATCACAAGCACAACTGGAATTATACAATATGTTGGTCTTATTATGCCAGTCTTATCTGGAACAGCCAGTAGTATCCCCCCCCAAAAAAAAAATGTGTCGCCGTATAGTAATAGTAATAATAGTCTACCGTATAGTAAAGGTATATTAATAATGTAACCTCTTTTGAAACTGTCTCGTAAAGTAGGTCACATCATTGAGGTAGGGAGTAATTCTTAAATAGCACCAACCGGTCACCTCGCTATATGTAAGCACTCGCAAAGCTGTATTTAAGTTATGCAGCAAAGATAAATAATTCAGAAAGGTTTCGGGATAACACATACCATGCGCGTATTGCTCGACCTACTACTTGAAACAATACAACCAGGATAATTTTTCAATGATCTACGTGATCTACGATCTACTTTCAGCAATCGCATTATACGGTCCATTTCCGGACGTGGCCGAAATACTGGTCAGACGATAAATACTACTCCATAGTATATATATATCATTTGTATAAGAACGTTGATGTTTTCCCATAAGTTCAAGCAACTCTGTAAACCATCCGGTCAGCTAAAGTCAAAGGCTTTCCACTGCATTTTATACTGCATTAACTGAAATAAAGCATACATCAACGGAGACCAGAAAATGCATTCTACTATGACCATACCAAAACAAGAGACGCTTGGAGATATTAGTTACCAGGTAGATACTACATTTTTTGACAACCCAGTGTCACCCAATTTACGTTGCGCGGTCAGTAGAAGAATCAATAAACTTTTTCAGATGATCATGATCAGCTGCTACTCAAACGATGTGTCTACCTCAAACTTTGCCACACAAAAGATGGCTTAATACAAAACCTCATGTACTGACATCGATTTTGTGCCTTTTAACCTCAGCACTTCACCGTTGTTACTTTTTCATTAGATATTATCTCTCTGATTAAAGGCTCAACCAAATAAAATAATAGTACAGTGCTAACGTCTTTGTCGGGAATGAAAAGAACACACATACTAGAATACTAGCTGATTTGCACATGTAGAATGCACATTTCAAATAGTATGATTATAACAAAAACTGAAGTGGTTCTCATTATGATGGATTACCCAATCAAGTAAAATTATTCTACAATAATAAGGTAAACCTAACATACACCTCGCGTACAATATACACCTCTGATATAGTAATAGTAAATTAAATCGGAAGCCTGGAGCTGGAGTGTCTATATACTGAATACCTGTACAGCAAGTAGGACGTACTGTAATTGGAATGGGGGCGATTAGCACATGACGTTTCATAATATTATAACAAACATAACAGAAATAATACCAAGATAAAAATATCAAAACATTTGGAGATATACAATAGAACAGTTTCTGATTACCCGACTTTCTCCTTTTCCTGCGAGCATGGGTTGTGCTGACACGCACACATAGGCGTTTACTAACGTTGTGCTGGGCAATTAGTGAAACAAGCACCGTTTGATAAAGCTCATGGCAGTATATAATTTCTGTGATAGTGTATTGTTAAGCATGACCCTGAACAGTGTTTGATGGGCATTACCGAAAATATATCACTTTTGGTAGTGATTCATTTTCAACATTGCTGAAACAACTTAACTAGCAGCTGTAGCTATGGCGTATGGGTGTATTTACTTCAACATTTAGAATTTGTTCCCAACAAGAATAACACAGTTGTTAAGATGGCTAGTATATAGCCAGCTATAGCCATCTGAAGCTGGTCTCACAATAACACGATGTTTATAAGAAATTTACTCAAACACAGAGCCGCACTAGAAGTTATCAATAGTCCATAATAGAGACTATTATGGACTATCTATTATGGACTCTTGAAGTTATCTAGTGGCTATAGCCACATGCCTCGATAGAAATCCGGTGATTAACATATCATAACGTACGTTTATTAAAAAAATATTAAAGGACCTCGAGTGCGAGTTGGGCATAGGTAGAGATAGATTAGGTTGCGTAAAGGGGATGGCAGTGCAACTGAGATCGGCAACCTTCAACAAATACGGAGTGAAACGTGCATGCAACCGACGCTCTGCACAATAGACAATCAACAAATAGGTGTAACCAATGCATCTGCATCCTCATCCACCTAACTTCCCACTGACACAATCACTGCTGTATGCCAATGTCATAAAGATGCTGGCTTGACATCTATGCTTTTGACATCACATCCTATATTATGCCAGGCATCTGACCTGTGCTACTCACACGGGGATGGTACCATACTGCAGCTACACTTGAGCTGGTTATGATATGTTAGTGTTAGCAAAGGTGAGTATGATGTGATCATGTTCCTATGCATGCCATCCACTCAAGGCCACTCATATATGCCTCACATAATGATATGCTACTACATGAATGGCATCATCTCACACAGGTCATTGGTGTGACCTTCACGTCATCTTCCCCTGTAACCTTCAGCTGCGCGCCATAAAATCTTCTCATATATGCTACTACTGTCACCTTCTCCCTCGGTTTTCCTCTCCTGTATTTCATCTGTCTCTGTATGGCACCTTATGTCTGTTAATTCCCCCTAAATGTTGCACATGCACATACACAAAGTAGGCCATACACGTTTCTCTTCCGTATCACACAGGTCTTTTCTACCGATCACACAGGTTTCTCCTGCATACCAAACATGTCTTCTGAACGTCGGGGGGGGGGGTGGCGTCTTCAGCGAGTGACATGCAGGCTTCTCCTGCCCGTCATACAAGGCTTTTATTTAGCACCCAAACACCACTGCCCTCGTCATCGTACAGCTGCTTGCCATCGATCGGTTCCTCAGCCTCTTCCGTCACGCCCTCTTCGGGAAGCAGCAGCGTCGGAGCACACGACGCCGCCGCCTTGCGCTGCGGCTGCACGACCGCGACGTGTCCCGGCGGCCGCAGCTTGTGGCGCAGGTGCTGCTGGTGATGGTGATGGTGATGAGGATGATGATGATGATGATGATGAGGATGATGCGGCGGCGGCGGGGAGGAGGCGTCGGCCCCCGCGCCGCGGGTCAGCGGCTCGAGCTCGTGCGTCTCGCTCGTCGTCGAGTGACTCGGCATCTGCGTCGTGCTCGACGTCGACTCCGAGAACGCGCTCGCGAGGTAGACGGTCTTATCGACGTGCCGCGCCGCCGGCGACACGCAGCAGTCCGGCCGCGGCCAGTGCAGCTGCGCGGCGTCACCGCGCGGCCCCGCGACACGCAGCACGCTCAGCAGCAGCAGCGTCGCAAACGTCCAGCTGACGGCGGCGATGACGATGAGAAAGACGCCGAGCTGCTGGTAGGCGAGCACGCGCGACGGCAGCAGCAGTGCGCCGGCGACGAGCGTCGAGAACGCGGCGAGCGCGACGGGACTGCCGACGTGCGCGAGCGCGAACACAACGCCGGCCTCGCGCGCGTTTCCGCTGCCGCCGCCGCCGCCGACGACGCCGCAGCGGCGGTACGCGACGACGTAGTGCAGCGTGAAGTCGGCGGCGAGGCCGACGGCGACGGTCAGCGTCGACGACTCGAGCACGTTCAGCTGCCAGCCGAGCAGCGTGAGCGCGGCGATCGTGGCGAAGATGACGCCCGCGATCGCCGCGATCGCGCACAGCGTCACGAGCACGTTCAGCGTGGTGACGAACAGCACGAGGCAGGCGACGGCGATCGAGACGGCGATCGCCGTCAGCGTGCCGCTGCTCAGCGTCCGCTGCAGGTCGTAGAACGCGAGCTCGCTGACGAACCAGCCGTTACGCAGCGACGGCGGCGCCGACGCCATCCGCTCGGCGACCCACGACTCGACGCGCTCGAAGAACTCGTGCATCGGCTCGTACTTGAACGTGAACGCGTAGGCGCTGTCAAACTCCAGTATGACGGCGCGCACGTCGCCGGACTCGACGTCGAAGCGCAGGCCGCCGACGCCGCGGTGGTAGTCGTACGTCGGCGTGTTCTGTAAGCTCGTCATGTATCTCTCAAGGCACGTCGTGAACACGCTTCGGCTAAACGGAAATGCCGACGCGCGGCAGCAGGGCGCGCTGTCGCTCTCGTCTAAGGCGATGCAGGGCTTCTTCATCCAGTTGGCAAACTTCTGCATGAAGCAGTCGGTGAGCTGCGGGCCGAAGCTGGGCTTGTAGAACGTCTGGTTCCGCAACTGCGTGCAGAACTCCAGCAACCAGACCTGCGAGTCATGGTGCATGAGATCGAAACTGCTGTCAAACTGCAGCGTACCCGTACTGTACGGGTCCAAGTGGTCGCCATTGTCTGCCGGCTGCACGCCCCAGACGACCTTGATCGGCAGCTGCCAGCCGCCGCCCTCTTGCCGGCATTTCTCGAAGCCGAAGACGTCCCTGAATTTGAAGTCGTACACTTCGAACGGATTAAGCGAGTCGAAGAACTGGAAGTAGTCGACGTTGGGCAGGCTCAGCCGCGGCTTGTAGAAAATCACGACGCAGCTTCCGGCCGCAGCGGCGCCGAACAGCAGCAGCCAGACGAGCCGGCCCTTGACGACGACGAACGGCAACAGCTTCTCGAAGAAGATACGCGACGACTCGCTCGCGTTGTGACACAGCAGCGTCAGAGGCCGCGCGACGACGCCGACGCAGTAGCCGACGCGCTCGCCGACGCCGCCGCCGACGCGGCTGCACGCGCAGCAGCAGCTCACCACCCACTTGTCGTGGATGATGAAGCACGCCGGCAGCCAGGTGACCATGAAGAAGAAGTTGACGAGCACCGCGGTGCCGGCGAACACGCTGAAGCAGCGCAGCGCCGAGATCGCCGACACGTAGCTCGCGTAGAGCGCCGCCGCCGTCGTCAGCGAGCTGACGAACATCGAGCGTGTCGCGTGCGCGAGCGTGTCGACGATGATCTTCTCGAACACCCCGTTGTTCTTCTCCGACTTTGCGAGCGACCAGATCTTCGCGTAGATGAACACGTCGTCGGCGCCGAGCGCGACGACGAGCACTACGGCGAGCAGGTTGACGAACGGGAAGAAGGCCAGCTCGAAGATCATGCTGTAGAAGAAGTAGGCGATGACGAGCGAGAAGGCCATCGCGACGGCCATCATCGTCGTGATGAACAGCGAGCGCGTGTACAGCCACACGAAGACGAACACGCTGCCGGACGCCGCCGCCACGAACACTGTGTCCGACTTCAGGTACTCCTGGAAGAGCTCGTATTTGAGGCCGAACTCGAGCGCGACCACGGCGACCCCCTTGCCGCGCAGCGCGTCTGCCGCCAGCGCCCCGTAGTAGCGCCGCACCCCGATCCCCGTGGCAACGGGCAGAAACATCATGGCGTACGTCGCCGCCGCCGGCGAGGAAGAGTCTGCCGCGGCCGCTGATTCGACAAAGGCGACGTCGACGACGTAGTGCAGCACCTCGTAGGCGGCGCCACACACCGCGGGAACGCCGGCGCAGCGCGTGCGGTAGCAGTCGGCCGCCAGCGTGCCGTTGTAGTAGTAGTCGGCGCAGTCGAGCGCGAGGTCTCGCAGCTGCGAGACGTCCGCCTCGGTGATGTCGAGACACGAGGCGCGGCGGCCGTGCGCAGCGACGTAGTTGGCCAGCGTCCAGCTGCGGCAGCACGTGTCGTTGCGCGAGAGCACGCAGATGTTCGAGAATTCTTCCGATATGGAGCGCAGACGCAGGTCGAGGTGGCACATGGAGAGCAGCGGCTGCAGGCTGAACAGGTCTTCACTGGCGTCTGCACCTTGCAGGACCAGCCGGGAATACTGCGCACCTACAAGAGAGACAAGTCACGGTGCACGACACTTCGTTTTAGCAGGTTTTGTTCTCATAGCGTTTGACATCTCGAAAAGTTCATTGCACCATATTCAATTCATTTCACAACCAATAATATTCAGCCTGTACTTCTATTAGTCTTACTTTCTAATAATATTTAGCCTTCACACTGTACAACCGATTGCCAGCTCCACCTAAGAAATTAGACACTTCAAATTATAAAGCTATTCTACTTTCCACTTCCAATTCTATTTTACTTTTAAAGCCAATGCCACCCATAACATTAATTCATCAAGAGTACATGGTAACTAGACAGGTTCAGTAACTCCTACCTGGAGAGCCTTCACAGAAGAAGCCTTGCTCGTCTAGACTGCGAGTTTTGCGGTGAATAGCAGAGTTATTGTAGACGGTCCATGCGCCAGCACTCCTTTCAAGCGGCATTGCGGAAAGTAGCCCTATACTTGGATTGCGAGTAGTGGCGTCTTTCATGTTCTGCCAGGTCACTAGGCGGTTACTGATCTCAGTGCCCCTGGCTTCAAATCCCTGTATATCGGCAGGTTGGCACATACATCACATACACCATATATATATATCATTATTAGCATGTTTAAATAACAGTATATGATTTACTAATGATGTTAAGTATTTCATTGTCTCAGATAAAAAAAACTCACTGCACAGTTACAGAAAATAGAAATACATGTATCAAATGGTCACTATCTATTCCATCATTAGGGATAACGTGCATGTCAAATATCAAATTAATTTTGCATCACACTGGGTAAAAGTAATCTGAACATAATTAAAAATTACTAAAATTCAATTAATGTTGATTATTGTTTACAAAATGATAACTTAATACTATAATCTCTGTTTACATAATCTCACTTTATACAAACTGATACAATTATATGCACCCACGTCAGAAGGATTTTTAAACTCAGGTAGTTTCTGTGCTGTGAAGGTGATGATCAGGCACGTGACTGAGACCAGAGCAACCATCCCCACCACAGCATATGGATAGTGAGCAAGCAGCCGTGCGTAGCTGTAAAACAAAAGTAACAGCACGATTAGAAACACTCAGTCGACACTGCTACAAGCTGAAGCGGAGAGGGTGCAATTAACGAGGTTTAATGAGAAGGGTTTACTCACAGGTACTCACAAGGTTCACGAATGCCTAAATATTTTCTAATTATAAAGACCGAAAACATGCTGAATTGCAGTAACCTAGGAACTAATTATTATGCCTTCATGCAGGGGAATCACACATGTTCGCACAACTTCAGCCAATGCTTATGTTGACGATGGCTCTGACTACTCTCTTGACTGATCTTATACAGCTTAAACTGTCCTTGCAAACCGAGTCCATCCAGGCGGCTGCCATTACAAGTTTAAACAGTTGCTGTTAATTTATTTGAAAGAGAAACGTAGAAAAATTTCTTGCATTTCGTTGCATACTGTGGTCAGATGATTGCAACAAATGTATGGTCACCTGGGTTCCTTAAAAAAACACACCAAAGGAACTCAACTTGCAGTGAATTCCCAGGCAGACATTACACCTGTATATCTCTTCCAAAATGGCCGAGTGTGCATAATTACTGGAATAATAAAATTTATATAATTTTAATCAGTGCTTCATAAAAAAAAATTTAATTACATCAGAGGCTGCACATGTTTATCAAGATAAGCAATTTTCAAGTACCGTAATCCTGTTCACTTATAACTATAATATATTTTACTCGAAGCTTAACTGCCGAATGTTGCACAAATAAGTTAGTACGAGCTACTTTGATTTTTGTTCTTTGCGTTTTTGCGTTTCCGTTCCGGCAATAATGAGACCTGTATTGTAAGAAAAACAACTGCGCGTTCGTTCACTCGATCAATAAGTTAGCACAATCATGCAACTCAGCACGAACCAGTTCATGACAGGCTTGTAATTATGTCACTTGCATCCATGGATTATATTAAATGGCTGACAGCATGAGAAACGCTAGTACACGGGACTACGTATATAAACGATGTAGGTAATTCGCATCTGCGCACGTGAGAAATATCCACTGGCACTGCAATTGTTTGGATAGATCTACTTCTCCCGTTACGCCTGAACCACGTGTGATATAGAGATCTCGATTGCGACTACGGGGCGCATATACTGCATATATATATATATATATATATACAATAACCTATCTCTACTATTGCACATGTAAACTAAAAAAAATGTTCACGATATCTATTGCACCGCCCAATATAGAATAGAATCGCTTATCGTTCGATGCCATCACGTTAAGCATCGCGTCAATATATTCAGATAAGACTGCTTGAGACTAGTGTCCACTTCTATGCGATATTTCTATTAATCACTGCACGACTTTACATTAGAGCCTGACACACCGAATCTCGCAGCACTCTCTGTATATATACCAGCAACATTCACATATTATCAGGAGTCTATCAATAAATCTAATATATCTAATGATATCTAATAATATTGATAGACTTCTGACATTATCCTGAATGAAAGGAAACACTCTATGTGTTTATACTGTTGTCACGATGAACAGCTAGCATATGCTATAAATGCGTCTTCAAAATTTGCTCACCACTCGAAATTTCTCCGACTGCAGCCGCAGACACTCACAGCACACACACGTACGGCAACGGCTAGTACAACACGCTTTCGTAGTCCACGTGTTTTCATGCTAGTTATAGTTATTCTCACTACAGTAAAGCTAGCTGAATGCCTACGATGGTCAACCACTATATCGCAGCTTGTATACATCTTGGATTATCTATCTTAGCTATCTATATATCTCTCCATCCATCCATCCATCCATCCATCCATCCATCCATCCATCCATCCATCCATCCATCCATCCATCCATCCATCCATCCATCCATCCATCCATCCACACTTATCGGACGAGTCTTTTTCATCATTCGTAGGTGAAAATCTATCATGTGTTTACCAAATATAATAATTTTACAACTATATTGTTTTGCTTAAATTGGGTTTAAACAGAGCAATTTACAGACGATCAATATACATTTTATACTAATGCGACTAGACGTAAAACAAAAAAATTCGATTAGCTCACAATACAATATCAAGATCAGTAAAGTGTAATTTTTCAAACGCTATGAGAAAAATTCGGCCCATTACATCTTCAACATCGTTATGTCATAACAATTCATTAAAAATCCATCAACGCATACAATCTAAACGCTGTCGACAGGTTGACACATAGACAGGAGTCAGGACACGGCGAGGCATTTCTGAGCGTACCCTCTTTTTTTCCACACATCAGATTTTGAGAGCCTCGCAGAAAAACTGCCCTCTCGCTCTCTGAGTAAACCGCACCAGCTGCACGAGTGCAAATTCGCGTAGGAGCCGTGTTTTCCGATACGAAGCCCATTGAGTTGAGCAGTTCAAGTGCATCAATCAGATTAGGTAGAACTGGCGGACGGCGTGACAACTCTCTGGTGCTAATGGGGCACGGCGAACAGCTAGTGACTCAGGTTTCACGCTGTTCCCTGTCTTCCCGCGCGGAGCTCGTTCGTCTGCCGTATGTGCGTGCGTTCCAGGCAGAAGGGCGGTAACGGGCAAGTGCGGTCACATAGGTCACGGGCACGTGCGGTCACATAGGTCACGGGCACATGCGGTATTCAATGACAACGCCTACCATAACTAGGTTTAAATTAGGTTAGGGTAGGCCAAATTAGGTCTAGCTAGGCAGCCGCCGTCAGCCTTTACGGTCCATCATTCGTTAGATGATCACCGTCAGAGTAGACCAACTGTTCGAACTAGTCGATAATCCTAACATACTGATAATGCTCATAACCTGCGGATTATTTTCGCGAGTTTCACCTAAGAGATATACACACAAGGCAAATGGAAATGGGTTTATGCGATACTTTACAGAGGTAGAAATTAACTTTTGAACACGGGAGTCCAACGGACTCCCTACCCTCAAAAAAAGGGAGTCCGCAGCAAAATGAGGTTCAAAATTAAAGATATTAACAATAGCGCATGTGCTTATTTTTAAGATTCATGCAGTTGCACGTCTGCCAAATTTTCTTTGGACATTAGCTGAACAAATACAGTAATTCCGCGAGGCCGTGCTCCGGAACGAACTAGTTAGTTACTAAGTATCGCAGAATTTTCAGGGAGTCACACGGACTCCTGCATATGTCAAATCAGGGAGGCCGACAGTAAATCAGGGAGTATTTAACTCCGGACTCCCGTTAATTTCGCACCCTGCTTTACATGCCTCCCCAGAGTCCCGCCATCATGAGCAGAGACCACCTGCCGTCACCTTTAATTGCTCGCATTCGTAATGTATCCCTATAGAAGTATTTTACATGATCTACATTTACATTTACGGGTGTGTTGTAACGATTATACGTAACGACCAAGATGTAGCATGACGTATATCAATCATGACAATATATAATATATAATATATATATATATATTATGACAATATATATAATATGCCGTGGAAAATATTAGAAAAATACTAGTATAGGCAGGTAACTATGTGTACTGAGCCGAAATATGGAAGTCGACTTTGAAGAATCAGAACAGGCCGACACCAACAGTCCTTGAGAATCAGTGATTCATCTCGTGGGCTCAACCACGAGGACATTTGGAGACACGCTAGCACCAAAACTCGATTAGGCATTCACTTGGTCCGCATCACTGAGTGTGCACGCATGCGCACGCAGACATGCACGCACGCACGCACGCACGCAAACATGCACGCACGCACGCACACATGCACGTACGCACACATGCACACACGCACACACACACACGCACACACACATTCACGCATGCACGCACACATGCACGCACGCACGCAAACATGCACGCACGCACGCACACACACACGCAGACATGCACGCACGCACGCACGCAAACATGCACGCACGCACGCACGCACGCACGCAGACATGAACGCACGCACGCACGCACGCAGACATGCACGCAGGCACACGCGTAGACATGAAGAATGCGTGAATAGTGACTTACTATACACCGTGTCGTCGCTAAAAGCAGCGTAAGCGGCAGAAGTCGCTTTCGTACGCTTTCGTCGTAAGCGGCAGAAAGTCCGCGCGAAAATCCACACGCGTATTTTGCACACGCTGGTTTCAATAATGGAATACGACTCAGATGAACTTAATTGGACACAGTGAGGCAATTTCGTAGTGACAGACAAAAATAAAGATAACGCAGCTGCCGCCAAGTAACCAACGTTTACGCGAGATAACATCAAATGACAGTACTATATTTATATTATTCCCAAGCGGAGTAATGTTTCACGTCAAGTAAAACAAGTAAAACACAAGTCTAATAAGGCATAGCAACGGTTACGCAAGTTGCAACAGAATATAAATTTGGCAGCGAGCTTGAACAACAAAACGAAATTTCAAGAAAAACAATTTTGCACACACACATCGGGAAACCTAATCGTTACGAATAATTTCCATAAAAGTTCAATATATGATAGTCAAAAGCGTTGACAGTGGAAAATTCGGATGAGAGAGGCTTGGCTAAGTGGAGTGAGATCGCAGGACTCCTCTGACGTAGTATGACGTAAACTCTGTCCTATAAGCTGAAACCTCCCAATGGAATTCTCTTGAGCTGTGAGATACCTGACGAAAACCGGCTAGAATTTATTGTTACTGATAAACAGGAGATGAAGGGTATAGCGACTACAGAGACGTGAAGAATTAACGCTTTTGTACCCAATGACATTCTGTCATTAAAGAGGTAAACTCATATGACATCGGGAATACACAATATTTAGATTGTTAGCGGTATCCCGATATCCACGGGATAGTAGATTCTTGTGTTGGATACCAGATTTCAATGCTTGGTATCCTGACGGGAAAAGTACAT